GGCGTTCGCGGGGACCCGGCGGGAGCGGCGGTCGCCGGGCCCGGGTGGCTGCGCGGAGCTCAGCCGGGCCCGGGCGATGGAGACGCACATCTCGTGCCTGTTTCCGGAGCTGCTGGCCATGATCTTCGGCTACCTGGAGGTGCGGGACAAGGGCCGAGTGGCGCAGGTGTGCACGGCCTGGCGCGACGCCGCCTACCACCGCTCGGTGTGGCGGGGCGTGGAGGCCAAGCTGCACCTGCGGCGGGCCAACCCGTCGCTCTTCCCCAGCCTGGCGGCCCGGGGCATCCGGCGGGTGCAGATCCTGTCGCTGCGGCGCAGCCTGAGCTACGTGATCCAGGGCATGGCGGAGATCGAGAGCCTCAACCTGAGCGGCTGCTACAACCTCACCGACAACGGGCTGGGCCACGCCTTCGTGGCCGAGATCGGCTCGCTCCGGGCGCTCAACTTGAGCCTGTGCAAACAGATCACCGACAGCAGCCTGGGCCGCATCGCCCAGTACCTCAAGGGCCTGGAGGTGCTGGAGCTGGGCGGCTGCAGCAACATCACCAACACGGGCCTCCTGCTCATCGCCTGGGGCCTGCAGCGCCTCAAAAGCCTCAACTTGCGCTCCTGCCGACACCTCTCTGACGTGGGCATCGGGCACCTGGCGGGCATGACGCGCAGCGCTGCGGAGGGCTGCCTGGGCCTGGAGCAGCTCACCTTGCAGGATTGCCAGAGGCTCAGTGACCTCTCGCTCAAGCATCTCTCCCGGGGACTCTCTCGTCTGCGCCAGCTCAACCTCAGCTTTTGCGGCGGGATCTCTGACGCGGGACTGCTGTACTTGTCGCACATGAGCAGCCTGCGCACCCTCAACTTGCGCTCCTGTGACAACATCAGCGACACGGGCATCATGCACCTGGCCATGGGCAGCTTGCGCCTCTCTGGCCTGGATGTCTCTTTCTGTGACAAAGTGGGGGACCAGAGCCTGGCCTATATCGCACAGGGCCTGGACGGGCTGCGCTCACTCTCCCTTTGCTCCTGCCACATTAGCGACGAGGGCATCAACCGCATGGTGCGCCAAATGCACGGACTGCGCACTCTCAACATTGGCCAGTGCGTCCGGATCACCGACAAGGGCTTGGAGCTCATTGCCGAGCACCTCAGTCAGTTGACTGACATTGACCTCTACGGCTGCACCCGCATCACGAAACGGGGCCTGGAGCGCATCACTCAACTCCCCTGTCTCAAGGTGCTCAACTTAGGACTCTGGCAAATGACTGAGAGCGAGAAGGTCAGGTGAGAGGAGGGGACAGCCCGGAGACCCCACCACCCCCTCTGGAAGGACTCGCTGGCTGACTGCTGCAGTGGAGGAGAAAAGGGGGATCCGCTTCCAGCATTGGAGGGAGGGAAGGAGAGAGGGAGGGGAAAGTATCCTCAGTACTTGCTTGCCTGCCTGCCTGTCCCCACCTGCCCCAGCAGTGGGGGTGGGAAAGAGGGGTACCCACCATTCTTTCATAATTCCCTCTCCTGCACCGGAGGGAGACAACTGCACTCTATATCAGCCTTCACTGTGGATGGATACAGTATCACTGCCCTTACCTTTTCTATTGAGAATACAGCTTCTCAATCTTTTATGCACTGGGGATAAATACAGCCCCTTCCTCCAAATCTGATTCCACCCCCACCCCACCCCCCTCTGCACTAGGGATGGAAGAAGAAAACTTAACTTAGGCCATTATTGTTTTAACTCCAACTGCTCTTCATTGGGCAAGCACATAAGTCTTTCTCATTCTTTCTTTCCTCCCCATTTTCCTTTATGCTTGTGCACCGACTCCCACTATGCTATTTGTAGTCAGCCACCCCTTCCTTAGACAGCCCGTAGATATCGTTCTACCTCTCTTCATCCTTCCCCAGATACTGGGCCAGAATTACTGCCCCCCCCCCCCGCCATTCCAGAGGCTAGAAACAGGGACGCCCTTTACACTTCCCTCTCCTACAGCAGGTGATGTTTCTTCGACACGCTGCACTAATTAGAGCATCAACTAACATGCAGTCGTTCTGCTCACTGCTGTTTGGGGAGGGCCGTGGGGGGGGGCATCTAACCACAGTTTTTCTTCAGCCCCATTTTGTGCTGTATCCAACACACTCTGTCACCATCTTTCCTTTACTGTTCATTAGGAATAATTTAAGTCTCTACAGAGGTCACCTTTTACAAACAGTATCCTCCCTGCCATTTTCTTCTCCTTTTCTTCCATTTTTTAAAATAGTTCAGATCCAGTATAGCCAGCCATGTGGAAGGTGGGGGGGGGGGTAGGAACAACTGAATCATCACTTGTACTTTAATTTGAAAACTGTGACCTGTTTATTTAAAAAAATTTAGAAATACATAACAAAAACCCTACTACAAAGGCATCCTCCTCTTGCCCTTTCTTAAACTTGACTGATCTCACCTTTTAAAATTAATTTTCTCTCTTTGATGTTCATTTTCTTACATGATATAATTTTGAAAGACATTTGAAGTGGCTGTTCTTGTGAAATTTTAAGTACACTCCCCTCCCCTGCTGAATATATTCTCTCTATATAAATGTTTGGCTACCTCGTTTTTTTGCTCCCCCCTCCGATTCCCCCCCCCCCATGAAAGATGTTGAGACTGAAATACTTTTGTGCCTAGACTGGAAAGATGATATCCCTTGGGTTTGTGATTCGGAGTGGGCGGGAAGGGGGGGGGAGAAAGGACAGTTCCCCTGGGTGTTCCACCTACACTATCTTTGTGCCTCTCCCTCCCTCTCTAAGGTTTTGGGGACCCAACAGTGCTTTTTGCATGTCTAGCTCTTCTAGCACAAACAAGTGTAGCGCGAACATCCAAACTGATTAATGGGTTTATGTTTAAAAGAAATGTGAAATGGAAACTCAGTTTCTTAACTATATATATGCAAATTCCCACCTACCCTTCTCTCAGATTACCTAGGTCAAGTATGGAGCTTCCGGTATGGAAGCAGAAAGAAGTGCAGAACAGAGTGACTTGCTGTTGTACCATGAATAGGAAAAGTCCAATTTCATCTGTGTGTGTTTCTGTTCTGCCATTAAAATAAAAGCTAGTTCTTGACTACTTGTCTCTGAAACAAGGAAGAGGACAGTGTTGAAGAAAATGCAAATGATGATGGGGGAAAGAAGTGGTAGTTTGTGCAGATTTTCAAATCCTTCACAGTTGCAGGCCATGGAATTTAGACAAGCTCAGACATGTAACCCCATCATGGATTAAATGTACTGTTTGTGAATTTGTATAAAAATAAAGATCCTCTTAAAACATTTTATATTCTTACAGTAAAAGGTTAAACTGATATTTATATAATAAAAGAGGAAATATGAAGTATGTTTTTGAAAAAAAAGTTGCATCTGTGTTGTCTTTTAAAGGGCAGGTATATCATTCTAAAAGTTGTGAGAAGAAGTTGTCCTCCGTAACTTGTCCTCTGTCTTCCCTGTCAATGAGCAATCTGGTCGAGTGAATCAAAGGAATTGGAAGCCTTTGTCCATTCAGCGGAGGCTGAGTGACTTCAAACTTAGAAGTTCACAGCACGGCAACTGGTTCCATTTGAAGGACAGATCTGTTAGAATTCCTAACTTATCCTGTCTTGTTTATGTGTAATTTGTAATTGAACCTGTCCAGCAATAAGTTTCAGTTCAGTTTTGGGCAAATTGCTGCTGATGTAACTGGGGGCGAAAATATACAGATGCTGGGAATGATATAACAATCTCAGGCTTTTTGTTTTCTAGGCAGTTAGTAGCCCAAACTACAGTTTTGTACGAGTGCACAAAAAAGTGAACTGTTTAAATGTGGGAGGGGGAGAGAAAGAAAAGCATACTTGTGCCACCTAAACTTTAAGTAAAAAGCTCAACATGGATGTTAAAAAACTGTCTAAAGTGATATCTTTTTTGTGCCAATCTGTAACTTTTGTGCAGAAACTGATTCTAAAAAAACCAACACCCTCTACTTGGAGTTTTAGAATAATTCTTAGGGGGAAGGAAGATTTAGAGTGCATAAAACAAAGCTGCTCTCTAAGTCATGCAGCACAGCTTTCTGTCCCCGTCTTTTCTTATTAAAAAGGGAGGGGGGAGAGAGAATGTGAAATGGTGGAAGGAGCTGAAGCCATTGTTCAGGAAAGTTAAAAGAGGAGCTGTCCTTGCTTGCTTGCTTGCTTGTTCAGTCATGCATACTGAATCTTGCTGTGTGAGGGTCCCTATGGAAGAGAGGAGGGGTAGTTCTTTCCCTCTTTTTAACATTCCTCTCCAGGCCTGGCTGTATTTAAGCTGCTTTTCCTCCATGTGGAGGGCAGGGGTGGGGGATGGTCTGGAGTTCCTGTACATTTGCATTTCAAGCACTTCCAGTGGCTGTCCGAAGGCTACTCTGCTCCATTCCAACTGTTCTCTCTACTGCTCTCTCGGCTTATGCCCCAACAACGTGCTTCAGGTATGTTGAACTGTTAGTCGTAGCAAAGGACCACATGCTGTTTTAGCTGTAGCATCACCTCCAGTGGCAGTTTTCCTTCATGCTTCCAATGCACACTGACAAGCTGAAGTACTGGGAATGCATTCATGTTTTAGCGGGGGGGGGGGGAATAATGTGATATTTCTGCCTTGGGTGGGAAGGGGAGGAGGAACCAATCTCGGTATTTTGCAGTCAGAGTAATGTTTTACTGGACCTCTACTGTGCCCTCAAGAGGAAACCAGTACCCAAACGACCATTGCTGTTTTTATTTAAAACGTTTCATGCTTTCTGCTGGGAGTGGGTCACAAAAGCTACATTGTTCTCTTTGGCAAAAGCCAGCACAATTGGATCTAATTGAGCCTGACACTACATCTATCTTCTTTTACATACAGGGAGGTATAAGGTCTGCTTCTCCCCCACCCCCTTTGCCTTGTATTAAAAAATTTAGAACAGCTTTGTGACTGAAGAGAGTATGAACCCTATTAAAATAATAATTCCTGACCAGCAGGCACAATTTGTGAATACTAAAGACGTTCCCCTTAAAATAGCCAGCAAACAGAAATAAATTTCTAGCAGATCAGTTGATAAAGCATACCTCCTACCTGAATACAATGCTATTGTATTTGGGTACAGAACTGCCAGCTGCTCAACAGACTGACAGCAATTTCCTTTAAAAGTTTTCCTGAAAGTAAACTTTTTTAACATTGCAATTGCATTTAAAAGCACCAGCTATTGTACTTTTTTAGTTAATGGTTTATATGCCCTTTGCTACAAAGCAATTTAAATAATTCATTCTGAACGCTAGGTCCTTATTTGTTGTACCAGGCCCAACTGGAGCAACATGTTACAATCTGAGTAACTTCCTCTTACATGTGGGGAACAGGCAGACTTACACATGGGTGCCTCATGAGTTCATGGCTGAGCAGCAGTTTGAACCCAGGTCTCAGAGGATCAAGGAGAACATTTCTGTCTACAAAGCCAGACTTCCAGAACGGAAGCCCTGACTCAATCCTTTTCTTTCTGAAGAGCTAAAGCCAAAGAAAGCATGTATTTTGTTCTCAAAAGTCTGTGTTTCATAAATATATAATCTAAAAACAGCATCAGCGAGAACAAAAACCCTGTAACTTTTCACCAAACTTCCTTGAAACGCACAGAACTGAAACCTGAAACAGTTTTATTTTCCTCTCAGAAATATTTGCCATTTCTCATTTTTTTAAACAAAAAATACACTTCTGGAAAAGCCACCATTATACACAGAGTGCAAACTTGAGCACACTTGGGAATAAGTCACAGAATTCAGCAGAATTCGCTTGTGAATGAACTCATTTTATTTAAAAGATTTATGTCTCATCTTTCAGCCCAGTTGGTCACCAAGGCATCTAATAACGAAAAGCAGACTAGCATAAAAACAGATAAAACTATACACACACACACACACACACACACAAATGGAGGGAAACACCTGCTGGTGGAATATAATGATAGAAGGGTACAGATGAATATCTCAAGGGAGAGTGTTCCATAATCTTGGCATCATGACAGAGAAAGCCCTCTCTGGTTGCCACCTGCCTAACTTTGGAAGGCAGGTTCAGGTGGGGCAGCCATGTTGGTCTGAAGCAGCAGAGCAGAGCTTGAGTCCAGGGGCAGCTTTAAGACCACCAATGTTTTATTGAAGGTATAAGCTTTCATGCGCATGCATACTTCTTCAGATACAGATACACTATCTCAAGAAGGGTGCATGCACACAAAAACTTACACCTTGAATAAAAACTTTGTTGGTCTTAAAGGTGCCCCTGGACTCAAGCTTGGAAGGCAGGGGCATTTGAAGCAGGGCTTCAGAATATGACCATAGTGGTTGGGCAAGTTTGTATGGGAGCAGGCAGTGCTTACGGTATACATATATACAGATTGGGATGGTTGCCCGTTACCAAGTGGTACCATGGTGTGTGTGTCAGTTCCTGGTAAAGCAGGCATCCGTAACTTCCTGACGGGGTGCAGTCAGACGGCGTGCTGAGAGCGGGTTAAACTGCTCTGGTTCTGACTGGATTATATTTGATCTGGATAATCGCGATCACCCCTCCCTTATCCCGCCTCACCGTGCAGTCACGTCGCTCCCCAGCATCTACACTACTGACATGCGGGAGTGTGTGTAGGCGGGTTTTTAATTTTTTTTCTCAATTTGCACATGCGCATAGGCGCTCATCCGTAGAATGGGGGGTGAAACTACCATGGCGCATGCGCAGAACCACCAGGGCGAATCAATCCAACCCCTCCAACAAAAGACTTCCCTTAAAACATCTGACCCAAAAATGGCCTCCATGAGATCCCGAACTCATCTAAATGCTAAAACAAGTGACCGTTTACATGTTGGTTTTCAAAACACGGTGGCAGTTGCGCGGTGACCGTTTACATGTTGGTTTTCAAAACACGATGCGCACACTGCTGACACTTTAAAAAAATGGTGGGCGAAAAGCGGAAGCCTTGGGCAGCTTTCGAGCGGGGAGGGGGGTTAAACCGGAAGTGGCTTGACACTGGAGGAGCGATCACACAGGGGGGAAATGCGGCTTTAAACGGGAGAGCTCAGAAAACACCAGTTTGGGACCTAGTAACAAAAAACTCTGGGTTAAAGCGGTTTTGAGCCAGAAACCAACGGCTGGGGACAGGAGGCAGATGTTGACTGTGTGATCGTGCAGATAAAATTCGTTGCTGAACCTTTCCGTCATGACACCAGATCAAATGGCGCGTCTGAACGCACCCAAGGACAGAGTTTTACCATCAGGAAGCAGCATGAGGACAAGAAGACGGTGGTGGAGAGTGCTGTCGAGCTGCAGCTGACTTACGGTGACCCCCCCGTAGGGATTTCAAGGCAAGAGACAAACAGAGGTGATCTGCCATCGCCTGCCTCTACACAGCAACCCTAGAGTGCCTTGGTGGGCTCCCACCAGAGACTAACCATGGCCAACACTGCTTAGGTTTCCAGATCTGATGAGACTGGGCTAGCCTGGGCCATCCAGGTCAGGGCAGAGTGGACTCAGAGTGGAGCATCCGCTTGGCCATATATTAATCAACAGTGGGAGGGCTTCTAGTGTCCTGGCCCCACTGCTGGACCTCCTGGTGGCACCTGGTATTTTTGGCCTCTGTGTGACAGTGTTGGACTGGATGGGCCACTGGCCTGATCCAACATTGGCTTCTCTTATGTTCTTATGCTTTGCACAAATGATAAGTGGTTGCCTATATTCACCCACCCAGGGGTTGAGTGGGTTTCTCAATCAACTACAAGGAAGTTTCCTAGAAGGAGCGTGGAAGACAAGGGAATAAGTGAGTGAGAGGACAGCGGCAGCATGGTAAGACCAAAGGAAATCCAGTTTCTCTTCTGTTCAGGAACTCAACAGTACAGGTTGTCTAGAACCTGTGGCTGGAAGTAATCAAATGACAGAAAGTTTTGTCACGTAATATGAAGGAATAAGGTTAAAACTATTTATAAACATCCAAAATAAAATGCTTGATTAAACAATTCTTGGAGCTGCTGACCAGCCCTGGTAGCCTTTACTATATGCTGTGGCACAAGAAAGAAATTAAGACGGCTACGAAACTGAGGGAACGCCTACCAAATGACTACGTGGCACAGAAGTGCAGATTGACCTAAAGTCTACACCACAGGAAAAGCCAAGATGTTTCTGGGGTAAAAACTTGAACACTAGACCCATTATTTTATTTATTTGTTTGTAAATCTTCAATGATGCAGTCAATTAATAAATG